CAAGGTCCACATTTTTAAAAAATCAAAAATATATTTTGCTTTTGAGAGGTAACTGCTTTAAAAGAAACTTAAAAATCTGAATCCAATCAAATTAATCAATTCTCTTGAAAAACATACTACACCAGGAAAGAAATCCTTTTACAAATAAATCAAGTCTTTTGCAAGGTTGCCAAGAAATAAATATTAGCCTCCATATAAAATTACCATATGTGGTAACAGGAATTCTTTGGTACTATAGTTTGATTACGAACTGGTTTATGTTCATATATTTCTTAAAGACAGTATATACCTGAGAAAAATTAATTTTAATGCTCTAGAAGGATGATTTTGATGTTACAGTATTATTCAATGATTAACTTAACCATTCATAATTCTTTAGTATAGAATTACTATACAAAAAACAGGGTGTTCTGGTTTTTAAGATGTGAATAAATGGGTTATTATCAATATCTATACATGTTATTAAGTTAGTTTTGTGGTAGGACCGCAAAAACTTTGATATTAAGCTGAAAAATAGTCAAAAACCAGAAACTTCACATTACGATGAAGAAAAATTACTCTGTTATAGGATAGTTTAAACTTTTTTATATTCATATCATACTGAAGTATTTAGTATAGGCTGGTTTGGCTTTTAAAAACAGTGAAGATACGTAAGTGTATAGAAAACATTATCTGAATGTGTTCTAATCACAGAACCACTTTGAAAAGTGGTGATATAATTCATTTAGACTTACCACAGGTTAAAAATGCACAGTAATACTCTACATGTCACAAGCAGCATGATTTACTGGGAATAAGCAGCTATGAGAGCTAAAACGTATGCCCGACGTTAAGAAGAAGGTGCTATTTAATGGTTACCTTTTGGGCATACTCATCACATGTTGGTCCTACTGGAACAACCATCACCTGGCGAGGAGACAGCCAGAAAGGCCTGAAGGAGAAAATAAAAAGATCTGATGAGGACTGAGGCCATACACTAAGTGAAAACAGCAAACTTCTTTAGCACGTTTTCCTGAAACCAGGGTTATGTTCAAAACTTTGAAACTGACGCTTACTTGTTTTACTAAAGTACCCACTGAAGCTTAAGTACCCACTCGAGCTAAGTAAGGAACATCTGTAGCTAAGGTCTGTGTTATCAAGCAAGTAGCAACATGAAGCCTATTGCTTCAGTATAGCACATCATAAAACACCACGTACTGGCTGTCAGGAGTTAGCAAACTCAGGGGGCACAACTAGACACAACCCATAACAGATGTGGATGCAGTTCGGAGCGAAGGCCTTGGGTTCAATACTGAGTACTCTCAAATAAGCATGTAACTGTATTTTTTTGCAGACTACAAATGGATTTCTGATAACCTTCGGCCACTTTAAACAGTATCGTGAGCGCACACAAAACTAGCTAAAAAATAAAATAGATGCTGTGTACTACCTTTCCACAAAAAAATATAACATTACAAAAATGAGTTACAGTGAGTGTGGTTAGGTATGCCTATAATCCCAGCATTCAGGAGGCTAAGACAGGAGGATATCTCCTGGGCTACAAATGTGGTTCAAAGGCCAGTCTGTCCCAAAAAAGAAAAATAAATAAATTACAACACATTGATCAGCTTGGCATCTTTAATTTTTGTCTTCAATGAAAAAAATGACTGTCTCCCAAAACATGCCAAAATACTTGCTTAGTGCAGATCAATAAAGCTGAACAAGGTAAATAAATGAAAAACATACTCCTATATCAGACCAAAAAAAATACAAAAGTCCCCCTAAAATGCTATTTGAAAAGCAATGAAAATTCTTATATGCCTTCTACTAACAACTGCTAATCACACTGAACCCACAGTGAAGCTACTACATTTTCCCCACACCCACCACAAGTATTCTTTTTTTTCCCCCAGTACCAGGAATTGAATTAGAGCTTCGAACCTACTAGGTAAAGACTACCACTGAGCTACATCTCCAGCCTTTAAAAAAATTCTTACTTGAGATAAGGTCTCTTACATTAAGATACCTGGCTGGCCTCAAATCTACTATTTTACTGCCCAGCCCCACGAGTTGCTGGCATTTTAGGCATGTGCCGCAGACATGTTATCCAGGCCAAGTATTCTTCCTCCTCCCCTTTCTCTGCTCTTTTTCTTTTCTTAAAACTGAGCTACAGCCCCAGCCATTTTTAAAAATAATTTTTTTGAGATAAGGTCTTGCTAAGTTATCTGGCTGGACTCAACTTGTGATTGTCCTGACTAAGCCTCTCAAGTGTTGGGTCTGCAGGTGAAAACCATGCCTAGAATGGCAAAGTATTTCTAATGCTATACAAGCCGAGTTTAAATTATAATTCCTTATTTTTCAGTGATTATTTGTCATTAATTAAAAGTGACCTAGGGCTGGCGAGAGCCCAGCAGACTAATCGCCTGCTTAGGCAAGCACAGGAACCAAGGGTTTGATGCCCTGGTATCCCATCCTGCCCCTGGGTGCGCTTGAGTCAGCAAGAGAGTCCTGGTGTGGTGCTGCATGCCTGTAATCCTAGCACTGAGGAGGCTGAGAACAGGAGGATGACTACAGGTCCAAGCTGCACAGTGAGACCCTATACCAACTACATAAAAATAAATACAAGTGACCAATCAGAATCACATCCCATTTCACATCAATATTGGAAAGCAGACATTTTTTAGCCAGTTCACATATCAGAAAAAAATAAACGAATGAACAAAGAAAAACTACCATTTGCCCCCATAATTTTCAGTGAGGATAGCAATCATTCTTTCCACTGATCCCAAGATGGCTCGATGAATAATCACTGGCCTTTTCTTATCATCACCATCATGGCTAAAAAACAAAAGAATTTATTTTGGCTTGTTGTATGTATTTCTATATATGTTTACTTACATATTCCTGGAGAAGCATATTAAAAGGAAACAGCAGACACTTACCTCACGAAAGTCAGGTTGAACCTGATGGGCAACTGAAAGTCCAGCTGGATGGTTGCACACTGGTGGTAGCGACCAATCGCATCCTTTATCTGTATGTCAATCTACAAAGCCAAGACTGGGCTATAAGATGCTGTGACCGCGGGAGCCAGCCTCAGCTGCTGGGCTACTGCTGATATGCTCCGCATGCCCCCACTTATTTTAAGACAATCTCTTTTCACTCACAAATGAAAATCACATTACCCAAAACTACTTCACTACTGACCTTTGGACCATAGAAAGCTCCATCGCCAGGATTTAATTCCCACTTTTGACCGAATTCATTCAGACTGTTTTCAAGTTGCTAAAAATAAAAAATGATTTGTATATTTACTGAAATGCAACTTTCTTTTTTCCAATCTATTCTGAAACTATTATAATTACTTTCACAGATCACTATTCCCTGCTTTGTGATTGTCTACCTAAAACTACTTCCAGACAAACCTCCTTTAAAGCTTGCAATTTAATAACTGGAAAAAAACCCTAAAACATTTAATCAATTCTAAAATACTATAATACTTTAAACCCATACCAAACAAAAATGATCTTACTCTAACAGCAACTATTTCTAATTTTCTCTTTTTTAAATTTTTATAAAGAAAAACACAATGATTTCAGACAAATAGCATCTACACCAAAACCACCACTTACTTTCTCAGCTTGGTTCCATATTTCAATATCACCAAGGAATTTTTCTGGGCGAGTAGAAAGGTTCAGTTTGAAAGAAAACCCAAATACATTATACACTGTATGGAGAAAGTCCAAACAGCCTTTTATCTCAGCTTCGATCTTAAAAAAAAAGAAATAGTGGTTGTCACTTATTAGTTTGTGTGTTTTTGTGGTACTAGACTGGACTCAGGGCTTTGCATCACGCTAAATCCCCAGCCCATTTTTATTTGAGACAGTGCCAGTAATTCACTAAGTTGCCCAAGCTGAGCTCAAACTTTGAGATCCTTTTGCCACCCTAACCTCTCAAGAGTACTGGGACTATCAGCGTGCACCTCTATACCCAGCCTCCCCGGCTTACTTCACATTTCTTTTAAATAATTTTAACCCATAGGGTCTCATACCTGCTCCATGGCACAGAATATATGTGCATCATCCTGCTGGAATCTTCGTACCCGGGTGAGTCCTGTCAGCGCTCCTGACAGCTCATTCCTGTGCAGTACCCCAAAATCGGCCACCCGAAGAGGCAACTCTCGCCAGGACCTTGGCCGATGATCAAACATAAGGCTGAAGGAAAAATAATCCACTCATTTCATTACACAAGTGCGTCGAGAGGCAGCCTAATGCCAAGTGATTGCCTAGCACATGAGGGACCTCAGGTTCAAGCCCCAGCACCAAAAAATAAAAATCACAATCAAACATTTTTCTGTTATATCTAACTATATGAAAAGTTATCAAATGAAAAAGCATGGATTCTACTTGTATGAGAAACATTTGTTAAATCCTGAGTTTCCTACATTAATAGAAGTAACTGCGTGAATAAAATGGCAAATGGTAACACAATCAACCATAGCCAATAGGTAATAAAAAATGTATTCCAGGAAAACCTTGAGTCAAATTCTTACATTCGATATTTCCACTAAGAACAGGACTGCCTTTAAGATTTAAAAAAAAAAGGCAGGAGTGGTGGTGCCTGCCTATGCCAATCCCAGTACTCTGAGGCTGAGGTAGGAGGACTGTAAGGCTGAGCCCAGCTTGAGCCATTTAGCAACTTACTGAGATTCTACCCAAAAAGACAATTTTAAAAACAGCTGGGGATGTACTTCAGTATAAAGACCTTGGGATTAACAGTTATTACCATAAAAAAGAATGTTACCCATAAACAAATGGCTTGGTTAATAAAGTCAGATTTGGTCTCTGACCAGACCCCAAAGTGCTTTGGTCTTCTTGTTAGTCAAAAGATGCTTCAGGTCTTAGGAAAACTAAAAATGAACTCAGACAATTCTGACACTGACACATACATCCCAGTTTCTTCTCCAAGTTTCTTCTCACTTCCTCCATTCCATGGGCCTACCAGAAGGGGTGAGCACTGAGTTAGCAATATCCAAGAGTGCCCCCAAGTCCTTCCAGAAATGGTGCTTTATCTTCTAAAAGCAGAAAATAGAGCAGCCCCAAGAGAAGGAAGACTACCCAAGGATATTAATTCATTAGCCATAGTTTTGGAAAAAACACATTTCTTTTCTGAGATACTTATTTGGCTAGGCTGGCCTTGAGCTCAGGATCCTCCCATCTAAAACTCCAAAGCAGCAGGGTTTACAGGCATGCCATACTACTCCCTTTCATTTAAAAAAAGAAGAGAAAAATCTAGAGAATTCACTACATCCCAGTCAACCTCTGCGTTATATCCCGGCTTCTTCACTGCTGTAACCCCAGCATACCACTCAAGAATGTGTACAGACATGGGGATCTAACTGGTTATGGAAGCTATTATGATACAATGTTGTAAATATTCTTCTGATTACATAATTTGTTTTTAACAAAAATTCTTCTGAAAGAGGTAAAGCAATCTAGGACTAACTATAGCATATGAAAATCTTTTAATAGAAACTCCTCGCTGCTAATTAGTACCAGTGTCCAGGGCAATTCATGGGCTTAAGAGCAAAAAGCTCCTTCTCCACCTCGAAGGAGAACATGTTCTCGCTGTAGTGCTGCCAGTGGCCAGAGGTCATCCAGAGTTTGCTGTTGAAGATGTTTGGGGTGACCACCTCCTGGAATCCTCTTTTCCTGTATTCACTCTGTTAGGGAACAAACAAAACAGACATGCAGACAAATCAATGCTCCAGAGGGAGTTAAAATTAAAAGGTCAATTTTACACTATCTAGTGAAGTTCAAGACATGCAAATTCCATGACCCAGAAATTCCACCTGTGGTATATGCCAGAGGAAACTCTTACATGTATGATGGGGCTTATGAAAATAAGGCTACTGTAGCATGGCTGGCAATATGGAAAAATTAAAATTTGTATCAGTGTACACCAGTAAAACACATAAGCACACTGCAGTAGGTACACAGAATAATATGCAACAAGTAAAACTAAAGTGAATTTGTATCTATCTAAAAAAGATCACAGTTAATGTGCATTGACATACACTTAAGTCACAGTATAGCTATGAGGCAGATGTTAATGAAATGAACAAAAAGGATCCATGGCAACTCAAAAACAATAGTTTCTCTAGGAAAAAAGAGGGAATAGATCAAAAAGGATCTTCAAAACTGGTCTTTTCTTTCCTTTTCTTATACATAAAGATTCTGTATCTTAAAAAATGATGAAGCAAATATAGCCCAATGTAAATATATGTTAAATTACGTGGTGAGTACTCATACTGCCTATACAGTAAGTATGCTTAAAATATATTGTAATAAAAAAGAAAAACAACATGAAAACTTGTTTTCTCAAGGGAAATACAAACTTTTTTATCAAAATAGCATAAATCTCCTGTCTTTAAAGGGCTATAGGTCCCACTTCAAGATCACCAGGTTTTCTCTATATATATTTCCATGTATATGGACAATGTCAGTATTAGGAATAAATAATTAACAATTTATAGGACCTCAAATGTCCACTTTTATTTATGTCCTCTCAAACACATCATCCTACTTTTCACCAGACTTTATTTTTATATTTTAGGGAAGGGTCTACAGGGTGTTCAGGGTCTCACTACTAGATCAGACTCAGGACTCCTAGTGACCTGCCTCTTTACAGCCTTCCAACAGCTGGGATTACAGGCACATGCCACCATGCCCAGTCTCAAGTGTTGTCTCAGCATGCTACGGGGGCAGGGCCAGCACAGCAGGCCTGGGAACCCCCAGCCCCTGCACCTGCTTGCAGGCGCTTTAATCTGCTGAGCTATTTGGCCAGCACTTAACAAACATTTTTAATGAAATCACTGTATATCCTAAATCTTCAGAAAATAAAAAATGTATTTTACCCTAATGAATTCCATGAGTGTATTGTAAATGTAGGCTCCCTTCGGCAGGAAGAAGCAGCTTCCAGGGCTGAGTTCATGGAAGAAATACAGTTCTTGGTCCTGGGCAAAGGCAGAACAATATATCATACATGTTCAATATTTTAAACTAGGGCCAATCCTGAATAAAAAGAAACCATGTCAGTGTTTCTGGAGTACAAATTAATGACACATTACAATTGACTGCAGCTTAGTACAAGTCCATTTTCTGCCTGTTAACAGTCCTCAATTCAGTCAAGTTTATCCGGAAGTGACATGGACCTCAGCTTGATGGTTTTCATAGTTTTAACACCTCTAGTGAGTCACAGTGAACATTTCTCCCACATCCTTTCCCCACAATTATACCCAAATCCACCAACAGATGCCAGCTTCCTCAGTGCTGGAACTGAGGAAGGAATGTTAAGGAATATTTCTATCTAGTCTAATTTCCAGCTCAGCGGACATTTAGAATAGGTAGAGAAAAATGATACAATCCGGATACCAGGGGCTTGAGTCCAGTTATAAAACAGTTCAACTCATTGTTCTGTATTTCAGTTCCACTTCTACAGACTGAGAGTAGACAGTTTCCAAGGTCTAGTTCTTCAGCTTTACAAAATGCTGCTCTAGTTTGTAGAGAACTATACGTCAACAATACTCATAACAGTAGTAATTAAAAAAGATTATGTGACAACCAGTAAGTATTTACAGCTTGTGCAGCACACAACACCACAGGCACTGGAAATCTAAAGTGACTTTTTTTTTTTTGGCCTTATGCCTTTAGGATATTTCTGGTTTTGCAGGAGTAACTGGGTTCGAACCACAGCATCCTGAGCCTGAATGCTTGGTTTAAGCAGGAACTTAAACCACTGAGCTAATGGGCAGGCCCCTCTAAAGTGACACTTTAAATGAAATTTCCAGTATGTTCTTAACTCAAGTTTCAAATGAAAGAATTAAGGCAGTCTAGACACATCACTGTTCTTTAACATACCCTCCCAATTTTCCTGTGATCTCTGTTTTTAGCTTCTTCTTGGAACTTCTCCCACTCTTTCAACATTTTGGGATCTGGAAATGAAATGCCATAAATCCTCTGGAGAGTCTCCATATCTGCTTTGCCTTCCCAGTATGTGGAGGAATTCTGAAAACAAGGATCATTCATCATACAGCATTCAAATCTATAAACATCTCACTTGAGAGATGTGATTTCTGAGAAGCACCTTACATGGCAAACTCATCCTGAGAGTACTAACCTCCCCCCTCTCTCCTCCCTATCTTTCCTTGATTACTGCTATTACTGCTATTGCTACTAGGACCATTACCAGCACTGCTAGGTTTTATGAGACAGGATCTTGCTACATAGCTCAGGCTAGTCCAAATTCAACCACTCTCCTGCCTCAGCCTCCCAAGTGCTGCGATTACAGGCATGTGCCACCATATGAGCCACACTCATCTTTTTGATAAGATAAATGGCATAAAATGTACACACCTGCTATATAGCTTACACTGCTTTAAAGCCCAGAATAACTAGACTCATTCTGCAGAACAAGTTAGCTGTCTAAGACCACTTTCACAAGGACTACTCTTAACCGCAAGAGCATCCCACACAAAGTAAACAAAACTGGAAATGAACCAAGAAAAATGTCTTGAGATGACTTAGCTATTCTCACAACTTAAAATACAATCTAATAATCACCATGTTTATGGATCTGACAGGCTCAGTTGTACTAAGAACTTGGGCAATTATTAAGAAACACAGAAAAAGCATGTAGCTGCAGAGTAAGTTTTAAAATTTCTAGAGCCATGTCAGTGCATTACTGCATGACACTGAACTGCTCACCTTCTCCATGAGTTGGCTTCAGTGATAACCTACTTAGAAGACAGCATGCAAAAAGAAGTCCTCTTACAGAAACAAAAAATGACAAAAAGAGAAACCAATGAAAGCTTAAACATATATATGTTATCATATTTATGTTCTATATACCTGTATGAGACAAACACATTTATATGTAACTTTTAAAGTTCCACTGCTTACTTTGTGAACTTTTAAACTCTTAATTTTGCCAGTGTGTCTGACATGAGGACCGCGGCAGAGGTCAATCAAGGGGCCACACCTAAAGATGAAATGAAGAGTTTTAATAAAAATGAACTGATAAATATATCAGTTGCATTCAATGATATTTAGTAATTCTCACCTATAGACTGTTGTAGTTGGGGTATTTACTTTTTCATTCAATATCCGGCATTTGAACTTGTTGTACTAAAAATAGGAAAAAAACTTTAAAACTTAACATTTACTCCTAAATACTATAGCTAAAATGTAATTCAAAGTACACTTATTAGAACATGGTATATATGTAAACATACCAATACTTTGTGCCATAAAAAAACTGTTTCAAGTGATAGTAACAAATGAAAGTGGAGGTCATTAGTTATGGTTCAACTTACCTTAAACATTTCCAGTAGAGTTTCCTTCTTAACTTCCAATCGTTCAAAAGCTTGTTTCTCTTTAATGATTTTCTTACATAAAGTCTCCAAAGAAGAGAAATCATTGCTGGACACACCTCTGAATAAAAGAAAGTATAAATCTCTCTACATCCTACTCTAATCACACCATGGCTTTGAAGGATGTTTCTTTAGAATACTTAAACTATACCCTTTCGCCATATATTAGAAATTATAAATAAATGTCATAAATTTTCATATTTTCAGCGCTTCTACCTTGGTTATCATGGTGACCTTTCCCACTAACAACCTCTGCCCCTAACTATTAGCAGGTATAAGAACAGGATCAGATCAGCTTCATTTTACTTTCCATCGTACTATAGGGCTCTACCTCCATCAGTCCAGAGCTAGAACTCATCAGAGCCTATATTACTGCAAATAAATTGCAGCACTTCATGTTCTAACAACTGGAATATGTTGTGACAAAGAAATGAACTTTGAACCCTTCATGCTCTTTTACTGAGAACTCTGAAAATAACAGTCCCACAGACATTCAGATTGCATTTCTCTTTAGTTACATGACTTACCCTTCTTCAAGGTACATATCATAATAGAATCCACTTTCTATTGGTGGACCATAACATAAACATCCACCGTAGACTCTCTCCATGGCTTCACCCATGATGTGAGCACTCGAGTGCCAATAAACCTTAAAATATAAAGAAAAAGAGACGGCTTCAGTCTCAGCACATAAAGTCATGAGTTGATACTGGTTGGTAGAAAGAAATTTCTTTTTGGACTGGGGGTTGAACTCAGCACCTTGTGCTTGCCAGGCAAGCACTTATGCCACTGAGCAATTGCCCAAGACAAAATTTATTATAAATAATCCAATACACAAAAATCCAAATTTAAAAATCTATTAATTACAGGGTGATTCTATCCATAGCCAAAATTAAAAAGGTTGTAATTGTGAAATGTAATTTCTAGGAATATTATTCATCATACAGAATGGAGCTTGTTTCATGAAAATGACCACGACTGTTTGTCTCACCGAATGCAACAGCCTGGGTTCTTCTGAGTCATTTTGCTCATTGTCCCATGTCCCAAGTGCTATGATCTGGGCTCTAACTGGCTATGAACAAGACTTACAAATTACATGTTTTTTATCTTATTGTCCCAGAACAAACAATGGGATACAACTACAATGTACAACACAGTAATAAAAAGACATGGACAGTGAAATCAAATGGCAGAAACTTACTGCTTGAGCTTCCTCATCCTCAAACTTAAGAAGCTCTAAGGTACAATCTTCCTCCAGAGGCCGGTCCAGATCCCAAACAACTTTGTTCACTTT